AAAAATTATCGTCTCTCATGTATCTTATTATTAGTTTTTCTTTTAATTGGGATTTTTGTTGTTGCTAGTGTATTTATTTTTAGTTGTTAATGTTAACTGTTGCCAGGCTGGCTTCAGATTTATAAAAAAAAAACAAAAAACAAAAAACCTCCTGGCTATATTTTGCTTGTTTTTGGAGACAAAGTTTCACTATATAGCCCTAGTGGTGGTGGCACACGCCTTTAATCCCAGCACTCCGGAGGCAGAGGCAGGCAGATCTCTGTGAGTTCGAGGCCAGGCTGTTCCAACAGCCTCCAAAACAATACAGAGAAACCCTGTCTCATAAAAAAAAGAAAGAAAGAAAGAAAGAAAGAAAGAAAGAAAGAAAGAAACTTAACATTCTTGCCTCCAGCTCCTGATCACACGCATGTGTAGTACCCCATAATATGCCATCTTTTGATACTTATTTGCCTTTGTTTCTAATTTAAGAAGCCAGTGCTAGGTGTGGTGGCTCACACCTTTAATCCCAGCACTTGAGAAGCAGAGGCAAAGGATCTCGATGAGTTTGAGGCCAGCCAGATCTGCATAGTGAGATCCAGGTCCAGGTCAGCCAGGAAGTTGTGTCCCACACCTTTAATCCTAGTACTTGCGGAGCAAAGGCAAGCAGATCTCTGTGAGTTCAAGGCCAGCCTGGTCTACAGAGTTAGTTCTAGGACAGCCAAGACTACACAAAGAAACCCTGTCTCAAAAAAAAATAAAAAATAAAAAAGAAAAGAAAAAAAAGAAAAGAAAAGAAAAGGAAAGGAAAGAAAGGAAAGGAAGAAAGATAACAAAACAAAAGCTGAAAAATTCAGCTATGTCCTGGTTAATTATGTTGAAACTCATGGAAATTAGCCACTGGGTGACAGAAGATGAGGAGGGTCGACTATTCTCTTTTCTTGTCCCCTCTATTTCTTTGCGAAAGCTAGCTATCCTACTTCAATATAGTGTCAATTTATGACTTTAGCTTTCAGTACACCAAACTTTCTTTTCTTTTCTCTTTAGAGACAGTCTCATGTAGCTCACATTGGACTAAAATTTGCTATGTAGCTGAGGGTAACAGAGGCCTATTCTTTTTTTTTTTTTTTTTGGTTTTTACGAGACAGGGTTTCTCTGTATTGTTTTGGAGGCTATCGGTCCAGCCCAGCCTCGAACTCACAGAGATTCGCCTGCCTCTGCTTCCCGAGTGCTGGGATTAAAGGCGTGTGCCACCACCGCCCGGCCAGAGGCCTATTCTTGACTGTAAACTTGATTCCATCTTGAATTAACTCAAATCCAAAATGGAGGAAGATCCACTTCTCTTTTTTTTTGTTTTTTGTTTTTTTTTTGTTTTGTTTTTGTTTTTGTTTTTTTTCGAGACAGGGTTTCTCTGTGGCTTTGGAGGCTGTCCTGGAACTCCCTTGGTAGTCCAGGTTGGTCTCGAATTTACAGAGATCCGCCTGCCTCTGCCTCCCGAGTGCTGGGATTAAAGGCGTGAGCCACCAACGCCCGGCTGGAAGATCCACTTTTAATCCAGATCTTGAGGTGGGGAAACACACCTTTAATCTCTGCCACACCTTCTCCTGGATGCCTATAAAAGAACATGGAAGAAGGAACTCTTTGCCTGTTTGCTCCTGCCTTGCTAGCAAGTCCATACCTTTGCTGGCATCAGAACGTACTTCAGGGCCTACTGAAGCTCAAGTAACACTTTGAGCCTTGTAGACTGAGCAACTTCTGGATTCTTGGACTTTACATTCATAGCTGGTGTTGAAATATCTGGACTAAAGCCTGTAAGTCATTCTAATAAGTCTCCTTTGTATATTTTTATATCATCTATATATGTATATATAAAGAGAAAGAGAGATTCATTCTATATAAGTTCTGCTACACTAGAGACGCTGAATAATACAATTCTCTTGAACTTCTAATCTTGAGATCAACATCCCCAGTGGGATTTATGAATTTTTAAAAATTTTTTTCGAGGCAGGGTTTCTCTGTGGCTTTGAAGGCTGTTCTGGAGCTAGCTCTTATAGACCAGGCTGGTCTCAAACTCACAGATTCCCCTGCCTCTGTCTCCCGAATGCTGGAGTTAAAGGCATACACCACCACCACCTGTCGATTTACAAATATTTGATACCATGCCCAATTTGTTAGATGTTGGATGGAAATCAAACCTAGGGTTTTTGCATACTAGACAAGCAGTCTACCAGGAAGCCCCAGACTGATTATTCTTTTCTTTCAAGAGTTGTAATTCTTTCCACAGCCATATGCACTTACTCCCAGGCTCTTCCTTTCTGGCCTGGATTTCTTTCTTTCTTTCCTTTTTTTTTTTTTTTTTTTTTTTAAGTCAGGGTACCACTAGCATCTCTGGTTGGCCTAGAAAGCTGGACTGAAATTCACAGAGAACTGCCTGCTTCTGCCTCCCAAGTGCATGGGTACTACAATACCTGACATTCACCCAGGTTTTTAAGAAAAAGCCACCCTGAAGTTGACCATATAACAAGAAACTTTGAATTATCAAAGAAAGGTAAAGGAGAGAGAAGCTTACTACTTATGGAATTTAATCTATAAGTGACTTATTTAAGCTGTGCTTCTATCTCTGGGGTTATCCCTGATGGTTAGTTAATTTTTGTTTGTTTGTTTGTTTGTTTTTCGAGACAGGATTTCTCTGTATTGTTTTGGAGGCTATCCTGGAACTCGCTCTGTAGACCAGGCTGACCTCGAACTTACAGAGATCCACCTGTCTCTGCCTGGGGAGTGATGGGATTAAAGGCATGTGTCACCAATGCCCGGTGGTTATCTAACATCTTATTGCCACAATATTTCTACAGGTAACATCAAAATGTATCTAACTAGTTGAAAGTCTATTCACTGAGTACCTATAGTACATACAAACAGTATGAACAGTATCCAGATACTCAAGACCCGATAGTGTGGCAAAAATCGGAGTAAAATTCATTTTCTTGCCTGGCGGTGGCAGCACACTATCTTAAGAAAATAAATGGCCTTAGGAAAGTTTCTCTAACAAGATGATTAATTTAAACCAAATCCCACCAGAATTCGGGACATTGGCATTCAGGAAGTTTCTGGAAACTCTGCCACCTCTTGGATTTTGTTCTCAGTTACTCAACTTCTCTGAGCCTGGCCTATAAAATTCAGAGAAGCTGGGCATCAGACACTTTACAGTAATGATAGTAATTGTTACAGTTTTAGACCAATTTTATTATTTACGAATTTATAGATGCACATGAGAAATAAGATGCCATGCCACAAGAGAAATAAGAATGCCAACCCTCCTAAGGGACTTTTTGACCAAATTCCTGGAGCGTGTAATTAAAAACTGGATTAGGACCTTGCAATGGGCAGACACTCCCTTCTTTGCAAACTCGAAAAATACACCGCTTGTGGACTTTGGGCAGATAAATTGGAGATCATTTCTGCTGTTGTTAATTTGACATTTAGTCAGCCACCTCTGATGAGGCAGGCGAGATCTTAAATATAGAAATATATTCATGGATTTAATCCACAGCAACCCAGTAAATCCTTTATTCTCTGGCAGGGTCTTTGAAAACACGAGTTACATCAAATCCCCGGGGCTAACTTCAGACTCAGACAACTGGGCCCCAGAGCTGCAATAGTCAGCGGTCAGCGCGGTGCTTAGCAAAAGGTAAGATCTGGGCACATCCCTTAAGATGCTGTTGGTGATGATGGTCTATATTCTCCCCAGCAGCGTTTGAGGAGTTCAGGGTATGCAGTCTGTTTTGGGAGGGGGGTTGGCAAAAGCTGGCACAGCAGCCATGAGAGTGACAAGACTAGTGGTGGGTGAAATTAGCGGCACACCCCTCAGTAAGCCCCTCAGCAGTTTGAGCCGTAGCTGCGTGAGCGCCCCTTCCAGGCTCGCCCAGTAGGACAGTCCGTCTCTTCCCCCTCCCCACCCCCACGCTCATAGTTCCTCCCGTTCTCCGCGTTGCTTCTGATTCCACGCTCGGAGTCACAAAGCGCGAGGTCACGTGGGCGGGCCGGTGCGCTTTGTGACGCAACGGCCCCGCCCCCGGCCCGCCTATCCGCGCAAGCCCAAGCCCCGCCTCGCGTGCGCCGCCCGTGCTGTTCCTGCTTAAGAGACCCCGGAGTGGGGGCGCTCTCCCGAAGCCAGGCCGCGTCCGCCATAGTTCCTGGCGCGGAGGTGTCGCCGGCGCTGGGTGCGGGCCGGAGAGCGGCCTGGGGGGCAGAACAAAAAGAGAAAAGAGGCAATCCACCGAGGCCCTCGCCGCCGCCCGACCGTTTCCGGGCTTCCTGACGCGGTCGTGGGCTCAGAGGCAACAGGAGCGGGAGCAGCGCGAGGAACAGCAAGAGGAAGAGTCGGGCAGCCTCGGCAGTGTCCCCGGGGCCCACGAAGCCGCCAGCCGGGGCCCAGGGTGGTGAGGAAGGGCCTCGCGGCCTAGCTGGGCCCCGCACCGGCTTTGTGTCAGGCGGCGGCGGGGGGGGAGGCGGAGCCGAACCGGGCGGCCGCTGGAAGGCCTCTCCTCCGCCGATCGCGCGATCTCGGCCTAGGCCGCGGGCCGCTCGTGGCCTCCGGGGAGCAGGCGCCAGGGTTTGTGTGCGGTGGGGGCCTGGGCCTGGGGACGCCGACGCCGGTCGTCCGGAAGCCGGGAGGAGGCGAGAGGCCGCTCGTGGACTCCGGCCTAGGCCCTCTCCCCGCAGCCTTCTCCCGGGGCCTGGGTCACCCCCATCCACGGAGAGAGACCAGCCGGGAGGTGCGGCCGCTATGGACCCCTGACCCCGCGGGGTCATTCGGACTCTAACGTGTGGACTGACCGCTACTGACTGCACCGCCTGCCCTGTCTCCTGCCGGCCCTTAGCATGAGCGAGGGGGACCCAGCCGGGTGACATTGTGCCGGTTGGCGGATCCTCGATTGCCCCTTTTCCCGTCCTGCTCCTCCCACATGAAGCGATTCTGAGTACGGGGGGTTCCGGATTATTGTTCTCACGAACCCCCGCTTGTGGTTGGGGGGTATTTAATTTGGGGCCTTAGGGTCCTTCGTTGTCTTGAGTGTTTTGTGTGTGTACATATTTTGCTCTTAAGTTTATAAATATACATATATTGAGAGTGTCCACGTCTCCTCGCTGAACCTTAGGAATCCTTTGCCACAATGTCCTGTGTGCACTATAAATTTTCCTCTAAACTCAACTACGACACCGTCACCTTTGATGGGCTCCATATCTCCCTCTGCGACTTAAAGAAGCAGATTATGGGGAGAGAGAAGCTGAAAGCTGCCGATAGCGACCTGCAGATCACCAACGCGCAGACGAAAGAAGGTAAGAGACACATGGGCCGCAGATATTTTTTGGGTAGAGGTGGGCACTGTAAGTTTGTTAGTTTGTTAGAGGTCTTACCTCTATCCTGTTCGTTGTAATACCCAGCGTTTCATTGATAGCCAAGAATTGCAGCACCCGACCTTGGAGTTTAACTGACCTGTTTGCCTTCCAAATACTGGCGTCATCTGTAGTAACAGGCTAATCAAAAAACGTGGTAGTCTGATTCTTCTCAAATGTGTCAACCCCCACCCCAATTTCTTGAATTTTAACAGTGGGGAGTGATTGGAAAGAGAAAGGAGTTATGAGTTTTTTTGCCCTGTGGCGGTCGTTCTCTTTTTTTTTTTTTTCAACAGGAGAGAAGAGCCTGTCTGTAAGGTTTCCCATTTGTTAAAGCAATAGATATAACTTGTTTGCTAATCTAGCATCGATTTGAAGTTAACAGTAAATTGCATGAGCCCCTTTTACTTATATGGGGTTGCTTGTGGAAAGGGATAGTTTTGAGAATTTAATCAATTTGGAATTCTTTTTGGGATATAAAATGTTCCAGTGTGACCACTCTGGTGTAATTCCAATTATTGATACTTACTCAAAAATTAAATTCTCTAGCCCAGATTAGCCTCCAACCCCAAGAGTTCCCTTGCCTGAGCTTCCCAAATGTGGGGAATGCAGGTGATAGACCACACCCAGCAATAGGTAAACTCTTAGTTCATCACATTAACTCTTAAGCAATTCTGGAAAGCTTCAAAAGTGCGAGGCCCTGCTGGGTTGGTATGTGTGTGGTTCTGAAAAATAGTTGAGTGCTACTTGTGTGTGAATACAAGTAAGCCACTGGTTATATTCCCTGAGTTTATTCTTTTTAAAAAAACTATTAGGACTTGCTTTTGTTTTATTTCTTTTTAGACAGGGTTTCTCTATTTCCCTGGCTGTCCTGGAACTCACTCTGTAGACCAGGCTGGCCTCAAACTCAGATCTGCCTCCCTGTGCCCACCTAATGCTGTGATCAAAGATGTTTACCACCTTGCACTCAAGAGTTGTTCTTGCTTCTGCCTCCTGGGTGCTGGAATAAAAGAAGTACGAGAGGGGAGGGAGAGGGAGCTGGGATTGACATGTGAAACAAACTTGTTTCTAACTTAAATTAAAAAAAAAAAAGGAAAAGAAAAAATGTATACTAGAATGGACAAAAAAAAGTATGACACCATCATCCTTGAAAAAATATTTGGACTTGATTGATAGGAGTATCTTTTCTGACTCTGAACTTGTTTTGGTTTCTTTTTCTCATAATAGTAATGCTGGTGGGTGACTTTGTAGACTTCTGACATTCACTGAATGTCTAAAGGGGGTGGTTTTGTTTGTGACATGCACTTACTATGTAGCCCTTATTGGCCTGAACTTCTACATAGATCAGGCTAGCCTCTGGCTCACAAAGATCAACTTGCTTCTGTGTCCTGAGTGGGATCAAAGGCATGTTCCATCAAGCTAAATTTGATAACAATGGTTTTTTTTTTTTTAGTTGAAGTTTTTTTGGGGAATGGTCTTATCTCATTAGTCTGTAGTTTGGTAGGTTGACCAACTCTTGTCCTGTGGAAGACTAGTTTTTCATTTGTAATGAAGACATATGCATAGTTAATGCCAAAAGAATATTGTCTACTTCCTTCCTTAAAGTAAATACCCTTTTGGTAATTGTGTAATTTTCTGTAATTTCTCTACGTTGGAAGAGGAAAGGTTGTTGGTAATAAACAGCTAAGAAGTCCACCAAAAGAAGCCCTTAGTGTTGAAGTCTACTTTAAAAAACACGTAGCTTTTTAAGACTTTTTGGCTACATTGCTATATAAATACATCTTTATAAATGAGAGAAAAGATGAAGTTAGGGTATACTAGTCACTAATTTCTAATACTACAGAAGTTTAATTTTTATTATAATACTGTATTGTTGAATCATTTGAAACTAGGCTTTTTTGGGGGGGTTGTTTCAAGACAGGGTTTCTCTATATTGTTTTGGAGGCTGTCCTGGAACTCGATTTGTAGACCAAGCTGACCTTGAACTCAAAGAGATTTGCCTGCCTCTGCCTCCCGAGTGCTGGGATTAAAGGCTTTGTGCCACCACCTGGCGAGACTAGACTTTATCCATCTTGCTACCAACCAACATTTAAAGGCAACTTTTGGACTGGAGTAATTTGTGATTTAAGAATTCTTGTCCACAAGTTGACATTTTGTGACTTTGTTTTACTTTTTTCTAGTTTAGAACATATAATCCAAAACCTGAAATCCAGGAAAGTTCTTTGCCCTAGATCGTGTGTTTTCTTCTTACTCTGCCCTTAACTGGAGAAAGTTTGATGTTAGGTTGGTTAAGAACAAGATTTGTTGGAGCTTCCTGCTGTTTTATACACTCACTTAGAATCGGGGGAGAGTGTTAATAGTGGTACAGAAACTTAAGGAGCTGGAGAAGTGGCTCAGCTGTCAGGAGTGCTTACTGTCCTCGAAGAGGACCCCACTTCTGTTCCCAGCACCCACATGGGAACTCAAAACTCTGGAACTTCACTTCTGAGATCTGAACCCTCTTCTGGCTCCAAAGGCACCAGACATGCTGAAAAGGACAGGCCCAGTTTTACAAGGCAGTTGAATGAGAATTCTACTTGGTTTAAAAACACCTAGTGAATTAAAGGTTGCAAAATAAATGCTTACGATACTTAGTTTCTTAGGAGAGTGCCTAGATTCTAGACCCTAGAAGAAAATACTAAAGGGGATGATTTTTAGTCAGTTTAAATTACTGATCATCGATGTTTCTGTACAACAGTCCTTTAGTTCTGGAAATCTGCCAGGTATTGAGTACCATAAACCCTGATAAAACTAAAATGCTTATGTCAAACCCTGTCTCGAAAAACCAAAAAAAAGCTTATGTCAAAGTTTTGTTCTGTACTGAATCCTGCTTGTTTCTAGACTATTGCAATAAGTTCCAAGGATCTTTGGAGAACACTTTGCTTTTATAGGTTGTTTTTATACTGATCCTCCCATTTTCCTGGTAACCTTCGTACTGAATGCATTGGTTGATTTGAAAGATGAATATGAGGTGTTTTTGTTTGTTTGTTTTTAGCCTTATTCTGGCTGTCCATTCCTCACATTCGTCTTGTTTTTCATTCCATCCATAACTTTTCTGTTTTTAGACAAATTTTACACTGGTAAGCCTTTTTTTTTTCTTCTCAGAGAGCTGAGGCAAAGTGCTCCATCCCCTGAGCCTTTTGAATCTAAAGAACTACTTGTTAAGACTTAGTGTCAGATTCTCTTGGGTTTAGGAAACCGTCATAAATGTAAATACTGTTAACTGGACAGCTAGACCCTTGCATTTAAGGGTACTGGAGCACCTGACTTTAGTATTATAATACAGTACTGTGTTGATTAAATTCAGTTGTCTTTATTTAACCAGCTCTTGCTGTATGTAAGATTAGTTTGAACTGGTGGCAATCCTCCTGCCTCAGCCTCCTGAGTGCTGGAATTGTAAGCTTCTTGTCACCACCTCACCCAGCTAATAAGTTGTTTTTTTTAAAGGTTTTGTGAATATTCTTTAAGGGTTGTTCAATGTAAAGAAACAGCCAAGTGTTTGGCACTTAAGTTTGAGTTCTAGAATTGTTAAACTTATTAAAAATCCCCCAATTTTCTGCTTCTGATTTTCCTTACTCATATTGCTTGGAATTTGGGAACTGTCCGAGACAGTGATAGCCTTATGTGTCTACACTTAGGAAATTGCATCTTTTTTTTTTTTTGAGATTTATTTATTATGTATAGTGTTCTACCTGCTTGCATGTGTGCCTACAGGCCAGAAGAGGGCACCAGATCTCATTATAGATGGTTGCTGGGAATTGAATTCAGGACCTCTGGAAGAGCAGTCAGTGCTCTTAACATCTGAGCCATCTCTCCAGCCCAGGAAATTACATCACTCTTGATCATCTGAGACACGTACATAGTCAACAACTGAAAACATACTAAAGAACTCTTGGTTGAGCAATTTACTGTAATAAAGGAATCCTAAATGCTTGATGATCAAAAATAAAGTTTGATACACATTAAAAGTATGAAATAGCCATTTTGTGTTAGGTACCTTAAGTGAGGCAAGTGACATTAAGAGTGAACCCTGGCAGAGGAAGGTGGATCGCTTTAAGTTCAAGACCAGCTTGGTCTACAAAGAGTTTCAGGATAAGCTAGGACGGTTACACAGAGACCCCTGGTCTGGTTGGGATGAGGGAGATTTTTGCATCTTTAAATTGTGTGTCCTTTTTTTTTCCCCTTGATAATTTTACTCATTCCTTCCCTGACAACTCTTACTACACTTAAGGCCCACTTAATTTCATTCTTACAGAACTATAGTAATTATAGAGTAGGAAAATGTTACTCATTCCTCCTCTTCAGTTTTCTTAAGTGACATCCGTTTGCTAAAGCTAGAAACCTAGGAGTTCGTGTTTGGTTCTGCTTTCCCCAGTTTGCAATATTCAGTCCATGAGCAGCCTTCACAGCATTTTGACTATCTAATTAGTTTGCTGTCACTGGACCTTGAAGCAGCCTTGTCATGACTCACCCTGTTTCTGTTCAGATGCCAGAGCAAGTCTTTATGATGTAAATTGTCATCACTTCACATAAAATACACCAGTGGTATCCCTATTTTACATGGAAGCAAAGTATAAATCAGTACATGGTTTGTACTTTCCTATCTTATTTTATGTAATTTTTTAATTGTCTTCCAACATTGCAGTTGTCTTTGTGTCATTTGTTTTTCCTCACATTGTTCCCCTTCTGAGTAAATATTCATTGAGAGAGAGAGAGGAGAGGAGAGAAGAGGAGAGGAGAGAAGGCTGACTGGCATTTCATTTGCAAACACAAGTTCTTCAGAGGGACTTTGTAACAACAGTCTATCTAAAATAATACCCACTCTCCATTCTTTTTTAAAAAATAATAGATTGTAAACTCCTATTTAGTCTGTCTTTTCTAGTAATAAGCTATAGGAATTATAATACTTAGCTCTTGCTTAGGGACTAGGGAGGTACATGCTCATTTCAAGTAACCCCATAGTTTGTGTGTTAAGCATTTCTTAGTTAAATGAGCTGGGAAGCAACTTAGTCTTAAACTGAGTTTCACAAAGAGGTCCTAGAGCCAAGTACCTGACTAACTATATTGTATCCTTTGAAGGGGAGCTCCTTAGGACTGGGATATTTCTTCTTACAATGCTAGTAACTGAATGCAAAGAACACAGGATTTTGGTGTTCTTGTGCTATAAGCTCACTTCCCATAAAACTGTTTGGTTGAAGTTTTCTCATTCCTGAGTACTAAATAGAAATTTGGCTGCCTTTGTTTACAGAATACACTGATGACAATGCGCTAATTCCTAAAAATTCATCTGTAATTGTCAGAAGAATTCCTATTGGAGGTGTTAAGTCTACAAGCAAGACATATGTTATGTGAGTATATCATGCATTTATCAAAGTAGACTTTTTTTAAGGTTTCAAAACATTTTTTTTTTTTTTTTTTTGGTTTTTCGAGACAGGGTTTCTCCATGGCTTTGGAGGCTGTCCTGGAACTCGCTTGGTAGTCCAGGCTGGTCTCGAACTCACAGAGATCCGCCTGCCTCTGCCTCCCCAGTGCTGGGATTAAAGGCGTGCGCCACCAACGCCCAGCTTCAAAACATTTTTACTAACATTAAAATTTATGCTAATCATGAAAACTATAATAGGAGTTTTTTGGTTGCCTTTATTTTTTTCTCCCACACCCCCAGATATCCCACCCACCAGCCCTGGCAGCATGATGAATATTAAGTAATGCCAACATAAGCTTTTTATCAATAAGAAGCTTTAGTTCAAAGGCCATCATAGAAACACAAGTCAACTTCATTTACTGCCTCATTTTGGATAAATTATTGTCTCTGTTTCAGGATTTCTCTACAGCAGGGTTATGAGTGCAACTGGTACTCTTCTCAGAACTTTAAGCCACCTAGTCTGTGTCTGTAATAAGTGTAGAGTAGCAGAATCATAATTACTTATATAATACATTTCTTAGCTATAAGTGATCTGGAGATGATTTAAGGTGTAGAATACTACACAGTGCATGCTGTTTTTGTTTTGTTTTGTTTTTTTGGTTTTTTCGAGACAGGGTTTCTTTGTGGCTTTGGAGGCTGTCCTGGAACTAGCTCTTGTAGACCAGGCTGGCCTCGAACTCACAGAGATCCGCCTGCCTCTGCCTCCCAAGTGCTGGGATTAAAGGCGTGCGCCACCAACGCCCGGCCGGCATGCTGTTTTTGTAATGATCTGAGCATCCTTTTGGTATCTACAGTAGGTAGGAGTAATGATCCTACATCCAGTCCCCCATAAATGCCTAGGAATAACTGTCCCTCTGATATGTAGAGGTGTATTAGGAATTAAATAGTTCTTGACATAGAATGAATACTGGATATTAAAATGATGGTAATCCTCAAGAATAGTTTAGAGCTTCTATTTATTAAAGAGACAAAGTATATCCCTAATAGTGCTGAAGATTAAACCTAGTCCTTTGCTCCTGTTAAGCAAGCACTCTCCCACTGATCCATGTCTATAGACCTCTTCCTCCTTTTAGTATTTCGAGGCAGGATCCTATTAAGTTGTTGAGACTAGTGGTGAAACAACTCACTCTGTAGACCTAATGGCCTTGAACTTGATATCCTGCTGCCTTAGGCCCCCCCCCAAGTTGAAATTACAGGTCTTCACTGGGTATGGTCGTTTGAGAAGTTTGATATTGAAAGCAGAACTATAATACATGAGTAGGGTAGAGTTATTTTCTATGTTTTAGCATGACATTACACTTAACCCTATGCATTTTAAAGGCATATATCAAGCAAGGTGTGGTGGCACATGCCTTTTATCCCAGCACTCAGGAGGCAGAAGCAAGTGGATCTACATAGGCTAATCTAGTCTACATAGCAAGCAAGTACTAGGACACCCAGGACTGAATAGCTATATAAAGAGACTTTGTCTCAAAAAAAGGCAATAAATAAAAACAAGTATCAGATACTTCATCTGGGGTTTTTTTGATATTTAGAAGTTATTTAGAAAAGGATATTTGAAGTTCATGAACATCCTAAGTTGCTTCATACAATAAATTGCTTATTTATATGTAGGATTTTTGTTTCATAAAATGCTTCTCGGTTTGAGCAAATGCTAGAAAGTTCAAGTTATTTTTGTCAGTAGTTCAAACTCATGTATGAACTTAAAACTTTGTTTTAGGTGCTGTCTAGTAAGTATTTCTTTCTCTACAGTAAACTTGGGTCATTTTAAAGCCTGTACTTAGGACCTCAGTTCTGGTCCCCCTTCCAGTCTTTTTTTTTTTTTTCTGAGACAGGGTTTCTCTGTGGCTTTGGAGGCTGTCCTGGAACTCGCTCTGTAGACCAGGCTGGCCTTGAACTCACAGTTGCTTCCCAAGTGCTGGGATTAAAGGCGTGCGCCACCAACGCCCAGCTTCCAGTCTTTCTAGACTAAAGAAATATGTGTTCTAGCAACAATTTTTCCAATTATTCATAAGCATAAAATGGATTTTAAATTGTTTTCAGGTTATGTTGATCTTCCAGAGACCTTAAATTATGTTCAATAATTGGTTATTGTTTTCAAATGCTTGTTTGGTTTTTGAGACATAGTCTGTCTATATAGCCCTGGATGCCCTGGAACTCAGATATCTGCCTGCCTCTGACTCCTGAGTGCTGGAATTAAAGGCATGTGCCACTATGCTTGGCTTTAAAATATTTTTAAAATTATAATCATCAACGTCTATATGGATCTGAAGCTAATTTTTGAGCAGAGTGGATAAAGATCCATCATAAATGTTACCAGCAGTAGCTTGCTTAAGAAATTGGATATGTAGAAATTTATATCTAGATTTACCAATAAGTATTCAGTCCACAAAGTTTATAAATACAGTATCTTTCGGGAACACTATAAAAATCTCAGAATGTCTCAATATGGGACTATTCCTAAAGATTTGAGATTAGAGATATATATTATGATTTATTAGCAGTCATACATGTTGATTGATGAATACCTCTTATTCCAGCACATGGGGAGGAAGAGGCAAGAAGATCTGGCTTTGGCTGTATAGTGAGTTCAAGGCTGACCTACACTAACTGAAACTGAAAATACACACACACACACACGAAATTCATAAGTAGCTAATGTTAGTTTCTGTTTCTGTTTTATTTTTAGAAGTCGAACTGAACCAGTGATGGGAACTACAAAAGCAGTATGTAAAAACACAATCACCCTTTTTCTACACAATTGTTTTTACCTATATAATGTTTCAGTGAAGTAAATCATTTAGAATACCCACCTGACGATAGCACACACTGTAAATAAATTGTATTTTGATGACAGTTCAGTTGAATATGGATATATGTGGCATAATTTGTAGTTACTCTGTAGAAATGGGTTATTGATGCCCTTTACACTGTTTCATATTAAATATGATAGCATTCTCCCTGTATGACACTGTGGTGTACAGTAATGTATTATCCTTTTTAGATGGTATAGGCTTAACACCGAAGAACATGGCAACATGTTCTACATCTGTCTGTCTATAGTTAGTATTTTGTATGTATGTACAGGCTGTTTTGTGCTTTTTGTTTCTTGCAATAAAAAAAATTGTTTGGAGTGTATATTTTGCCATTTTCACGTTGTTTCACTTAGTTTATTAGGGTTTTTTCCCTGACTGATTGGTGGCTTTCAAAAATGGGTTAGCAACATGCAGAACTTACATTATTGTTTGCTTCTTTCTCCAAGTTCAAACACATCCTAGAAAAGAGCTTTTGAGAGACTTGTAATGCAACTTTTAGTCAGTCTTGCTTCATTTGGCACCTGTGAGCTCCTGTCCTTTGTGTACCCTTGTACTATATACAGTACAGAGTGAAATTGCATCTCCACCACCAAGAGTGCAGAACCATGCAGTGATTTAATGGTTTTATGCAGTTCATATACAAGCTAGTGTATTTAAACTGGAATGTTTGCCTTTCTCATAAGATGCTAAAATGCTGCATTAGTTAGAAATTATTGAAAACTGTATCTTATCAGAAGTAACTCCCATTAATTGGGGGTAATATCTTTTTTATAATTACAGTTTAACCTGTAGTGTGACACTATTTTGACTTTTTATGTAAAAACTAAGTTGTGGGACAGGTGCTTGTTAACACAGGGCTATCTTAATTGGGTTCTGTAACTTGATGGTTCTCTAAACATTTTACTGCTCAGGCTCAATACTTGTACACCATAACACAGTATTTGAAGTTTTCTTTTAGAAATCGGGGTATTGCTTACTGTTTCATTTTATTCTTTTTGAATACTGATATTTGTGTATGAGGCATTTCACTAACCTTGGATCATTGGATCTTAACATGATAAGTAGAATATATCAACTTTGAACTTGTTCTTTAAAGTGTATGGCCTTTAGTTCCTGTCTAAATACAGTGATTTTAAACACAAAAAGTCAGTGTTTGGGGTTTTTTCCCCCATATTTGAATATATGGGTGGATTTTTGGGTTTTTTTGTTTGTTTGTTTTTTGGGGTTTTTTTGTTGTTGTTTTTGGGTTTTTTGGTTTTTAAAGCATATGCTGTAAAACTGTCCGAGTTTCTGTTTTGCTGGTGATTGGTTTAAAACTGATTTTTATGTATCCAAATGCTAGCACAAATTAGAAAAACTTGTCCCGGTGACTGTAGTAGTAAATGTAACACATTTGTATAAACTATTTTTATATAGCATTTAAATTAATTCAGATGAAGTTTTATTTCTTGAAAACAATTATTTCCTTTTTGTTTATTAGCATGTGTATAAACACAAATCACATGTTCATAAATAAAGTTAACATTCTTTTAGCCTTGTGTGTTCCCTGGCATGTCTGTATTACATTTATAAGACATTTATTAATAAGCTTATTCAGATTTCTCTTCCTTTTAGTGCTTTAAACAGTTTTAACTTTTAGGTAGAATTAAGTGAGATGGAGACATAACATAATCTGTTGTCTCTATATCTTATTTGTTTCAATGCTTTCTTGACATTTAAGACCATGGAAACATGTTCATTGACTAATTAGTATTCATAATTTAGGAATAAGGATGGTTTGGCTATACACATTAACAAACAAAATAGAGACCCTGGGCAAAATTTAAAATTCTGATTAGGAAAGGTATGTCTGTGTACATTTTGGTTTTATGCTTTGAGACAGGCTCTCATAACTCGGGCTACCCTCTATATGGGAGGCTGCCCTTGAGTGCTTGAGTTTTGCCTAACCTCCCATGTGCTGGGATTGCAGGCTTATACTATGCCATCATGCACAACTTGGTTTTTGCTTTGTTTCTTCTTCTTCTTTTTTTTTTTTTTTTTTGAAGACATCAGAGGTCTTGCTGTGAAACAACTCTAGCTGGTCTGGTACTTGCTTGTAGCTCAGACTGGCCTTGAAATCATGGCAGTCCTCCTGCCTCAGCCTCTCAAGTGCTGATATAACAAGTATGGACTACCACATACCCAGTGCATTTTTGCTAATTTAAGCCAAGTCTGATCAAAGACTATTCCCCTAATCCTTTTAGTCATCTGTCCATGTTGGTCTGGTACTCCAAAGCTAGATGTTCTTGCTGACTAAACAATGGGATTATATTGTAGGGTCCTTTTAATATCATTCAAATATAATTGGCTTAAAAAGATTTTAGGTACTTGCTCCCAGAAGCAAGGCCCTCCCTAGCACAAAGGAGGTTTAATCTTAATGATGCCTATAGTACACATCATTTTTAAATGTGGCAGATGTAACAGTATTTTACTGAGAAGTCAATTTATTGATGTTTAGGTAGTATAAATTCCTAATCATTTTTCAGCCGTTCTTTGAACTTGTTTTTCCCAGTTTTTCAAGACAGTTTCTCAATGGCCTTGGGGGCTGTCCTGGAACTAGCTCCAGTAGACCAGGCTGGTCTCGAACTCACAGAGGTCCGCCTGCCTCTGCCTCCCGAGTGCTGGGATTAAGGTGTGCGCCACCACCGCCCGGCTTTGTGAACATTTTTTTACTTGTCTCTTAATGCCCGGTTATGTGTAAAATTGGGTAGCTTTCTAAATTTTTGGTATAGTTGACCTTAGATTGTAAGATTTTTAGATAGCATAGACATTATTTGGTGGGGAAAAAATGATTAAAATGTAATTTGTGGGAAACCACTTTGAACTAAAGAAGTCCATGATTAAAAAAAAAGTGGAAGAAAGAAAAACAGTGAGAGAGTTAGTTACAGAGTGGTTTGATTAGGTTAGCAACTATTCAGTCAGACCTTTGTCACCTATGTTATGGTAGTTCCTGGTGATTTAAAATGTGGCCCTTTTAAAAATAAACCTGAGTGGGTTAGGCTTTCTTTTGGATAACAGTATTTTTTTTTCCTAATTTTTTTTCTGTTTCTTGAGATTAGTCCCTAAGTAAAAAATTCCTTAGAGGTAAGCAAGAGAGCTCTTGCTTATGCATTAGTGGTTATGCTTTAGAAATGTGGACTTAGCACATGATGAACTCTGCTGTCTTTAAATGGGGAACAAAGAACCATGTGTCTAAATAAGCATCCCATATTGGTACCCATCAGACTAAACTTAAGATATTTGTAAGATTCGTTTTACGAAACAGTCTTGCCACAGAGGTCACGCAGACCTCAAACCTACTGTGTAGTCCAGCTCTGAAAATTGTGGTCCTCCTGCCTTAGGATCATAGTAGGCAGGCACCTCCACGTCTAGCTAAGATGTATCTTAAATTAGCAAATGTAGTTTTTGTGGACATTGGCAACTTCATATTGAAGCTTGTTGCATTTCAATTTTTGTGCTTTCAATACTTCTAGAAGGATATCTGAAAATATTTTCTTTGAGCCAGATATCCTACTTGGAGTCTGTCCATTCCAAAGGATTCTGACCAGTATCATGCATAAGTAGAATCTAAGGAGCTTAGGGAACTCTTGTTGAGAAGCTGGTTACTAAAATGCTTTTGTGTGCATGCAGATAAGCATCTTTTTAAAAACTAAATCATTTAATGGGATCAAGTGAAAAAACTTTAAAAAGATTAACATCATATAATACATTTTTAAAACTCTTATGTCCTTTATATCCTCTCCCTGTTTGGTTAAATTGACTTCTCTCCAAAGACTAAAATCTATTACTGTGTATGACAGCTCTTTGACTCTTTCCCAGGGTATCTTTCCTGTTTTTCTTTTCCTTTCCTTTTTTTTTTTTTCTTGTTTTGTTTTAGAGTGAGTGACATTGGCTTAGCAGGGAACCTGTGGTTTTTTTGACCAGAGAGGAGCTATTATTATTCTTTGGATAGAAAAATAAGCTCAGTAGTTGATGTTCAAAAGGAAAACACTAGGAATTGCCTGGGAGCTGTTACATTTACAGCAAATTATCTGAGGCCTAAAGAGCTGTTTGTTTTTACAGTGTTGTTTAATGGCATTGGGGGAATTAGATTTTTTTTCCTTCCTTTTAGTTCTCTCGTAGTGTACATTGTTGTGAGCATTATCAAATTTAAAGACTATTGGGAGATGTAGTACTCTCATTGTAGTATTGAGTCACCACTCTTGAGTAGAGGAATTTTTTGCCCTTTGATTTATTTCACTGCAGTAAGTCCTTTCATACACCATAGCCTTTATAACTGGATATAAAATGTTAACAAAAGATAAAATAACTTGAGCATATTTTCAGAATTCAAACAAAATACAAATTATAACATTCTTTAGAAAATTAGGAAAAATGCCCAATATTTAATATTAAGTGACTTTAGGGGCTAAATAATCACTTTCAGATGTTTTCAGCGTGGAACTTGAATGTATGTTTAATTTTTTGTGAACAGATTGATGACTCTTCTGCATCTATTTCTCTGGCCCAGCTTACAAAGGTATATATATATATATATTCTTGACAATATAAGTCTAATATTTTTTTAAATGTGGAACAGTACTGTTTTAAGGAGGGTGGGGGAAGATGTATTTTGTGAATGCATTGTACATACTATTACTGCCCTGTAAAGAATAGTTGCCGTCCTGAGAAGATAGGGGTGTAACTTGGTCAGCGTCCCTGCATAATGTTCATCTTCAAGACTGAAGAAACACAGGAAGCTACACTTAACCGGTTTTTCCCCTTACACAATTTTGTTTAATTAAACACAGGAAACTAGCACAATTCTGGAGGAATTCCCTGGTTTTGGCTGTGAGTTATGTGGACTTCATTAAAATAGCCAAAACAGAAGATTTCCTTTACATGGACAGTTGTGTGGTTAATTCTTGAAATTTTGAATTGATCCCACCAAGATCAATATTTAAAATGTGGTGCAGTTGTTTCCTCATGCTTTAAACTTGTAGTCTGTCCAAATTTGAATAATTTTAAACAACCTAATTTGTTTGAACACAGACTACATGAATTGTGTAAGTGTATACTTGTAAAGCTGTTTGCAGGAATATGAGTGTATGTTTTTGGCAGAGGGTCAAATTGTTACCTTCTGAAATCGTTGTGTGTACCATGTTGTTGACAAGGTTGCTTGCATTTATTCTCAACAATATGTATATTCTGTTTTGGAAAGCACTAGTGATGGATTTTTTTTTTAGGCAGTATTTTAGATTGTAGATTGTGTCTTTAGACTAGAACAGGTAGGCTTGAGGGCTCAGAAGGCAGCTGTCAAGTTTCCCAAAAGTCTTTTTCCCTGCTACCAGAAATGTAAAGTCTAATTTAACAACCAACAAAAATGAAAATGAAAAGGGTTATTCCCTTAGTGTTGTCCCTATTTTGTCCTTGGCTATGTCCTTTTCCTAGGATGTATCCTTAAAAAATGTCCTGTTAACAGACTAATTGCTTCTTAAGCTCTAGTCCTAAGAAAACAAAACACTAGAATTAATGATTCTGAGCAAAGTAGATAAATCATCATATTTTGTTATTTTTCTAATGCAAAGTAGTTAGCATAGAATTTACGTCTTTGACAGCTTATAGTACATACTGTTTATTCTTTGTACTGTAAGGACTGCATTGGAGTTCTGGTCTATTTCTACCATTGTTACTTGGCTGGGAGGAATTGGGAAGTTTTGGAGGTTTGGTAATTTTTTTCCTTTAATCTGTTTGTAAAGTAATATTTGGGTTCAAACAAATTAGTTGTTAAAAATCTGTAATAAGTTTTCTGTAAATGTTGCTGTTGTTCCACGCTCTGTTAATGTTAAGCATTCTCTGTATATAAAATTACAATAAAGTGTTAAAACTGGTTGCTTGTTTTGTGGATGAATGTAAAGATAAAAGAGTAACGATGTGAATGGTATATGCTTGAAGATCATGTTATTAGAAAATCACTCCCTTAGACCCTGTTTATATCTAGACTGCTAGATTTATGAAGCTCATAAAATTTATCTGAAGTTTTAAGATTTAAAAGTATACCTTTCAACTAATTAGAAACTGACTGCTAGCCAAAGAGCCTTCTGACTTGTAGTGTGTAGTAATGCTGTCATTTATCCCCACCTTTGCCTGCTAAGTTCTCAATGTAAATTATTATCTCAATGCTGGGACACTTGAAACATTTTGAAGATTTGACAACATCAAGTGTTTCTCTTTTAATTTAACCTCACCCAGCCTTGAGTTGCTAGAACAATCATGTGTTTAGATGTCAATGTAGGTACAGACAAGGTCTAAGGTCTGAGTGTTTCCAGAAAGACTTCCTCAGCCTTCCAAGCTCCCCTAGAGATGGTGCTGTAAGAATTCCCAGTGCTTTCTTCAGTAACCCATGTATAAAGCACAGCTCATTTAGATGTTGCTCTGTGTAGGTTGAGTGTGTTGTCTTTGCTGTGTGGTCTTAATGTGTTTCTAATGTGTGTGTCAAATAATTACCCGTTAAACAGACTGCCAATCTGGCTGAAGCCAATGCTTCTGAGGAAGATAAAATTAAAGCAATGATGTCGCAATCTGGCCATGAATACGACCCAATCAAGTAAGTTCATAAATATTTTTATGCTAACAGGAACTTTGGGGTGTTTGCCCCCACAATTAGAAACATTATTTTTAAATCTCTGTGTACATACTAATTCTTTTTCCTTTTCAGTTACATGAAAAAGCCTCTAGGTCCACCACCTCCATCTTATACCTGTTTTCGTTGTGGCAAGCCTGGTCATTATATTAAGAATTGTCCAACAAATGGGGTAAGTTCATGTAGAAACTGATACATCTAGTTTTTCTTAGAATTATCTCTTAACCGTATTTGCTGTGGTAAAAATCACCGTTAAAATGGCAAATGAGCACTGCTTTTGGAGTGTAGGTTGCCAGACCCCAAGTCTTGGCTGCTTTGTTAAATAGAACATGTTGCTTGTCTTGTTTTCTTTGAAGTAGTAATAATTAGTACTTAGTATTTAGTTCACATAGCAAATCTGAGAATGAAATGAGTTCCTCTGTTTGGAGCATCACAAGTCAGTGACGAGCATTGTGTGAGGTGCCCAGGCACTACTAAAGAAGACTCTTGTCTTCCTCTTTTCTCCCTTCTTCCAAACAGGATAAGAACTTTGAATCTGGCCCTAGGATCAAAAAGAGCACTGGAATTCCCAGAAGTTTTATGATGGAAGTGAAAGATCCTAACATGAAAGGTGCAATGCTTACGAACACTGGAAAATATGCCATACCAACTATAGATGCGTAAGTATGCATTTTAGGTGTGAGCTGTGGGGACCAGGTAGTCCCAGGGTATAGTATTTCAGTCTTGGGCTTGTAACTTGACTATTTGGATTCCTTGGGAAGTTTCCATTTCAGAATTGTTCATTTCCATTTGTTACATTTCTGTGTTAAATCTGAGAGGCTGCAGTCTGCTCCATTTATGCAAATTTTAAATGAATTTGGGGATTTTTGTCATTAGTGAGTGCCACTTCCCTTGTAGTCTTCTAATTTTTTTCTTTCTGTCATTCCTTTCTTCCTCATTCACATACATGCTCCCACATTATCTTACATATGCTATTTCCATTTTGAGAAACAAACATCTAAGAATAAATGTGCAAGAAGTTACCAAGGCAAATTTAAATGCCTGGCATAAATGAGCAAGGTTACTTGGCTAGATTTAGATATATCACATCATCTTCAGCCTAAAGTAGGGTGTGCTTTACAAACCACTATTAGTTCAGTTCAGCCAGGTCTGTAAAATGTTTCGTGGTTTGGGTTTTTGTTATTGTTTTGTTAGGTTTGGGGTTTTGTTTTGTCTTGTCTTTTGAGGCAAGACTTTGTTGTCCAAGCTCGTCTCAAATGTGTGCTCATCCTGCCTGCTTCAAGCTTCTTGCTATTGGTATTACAGATGTACACCAACATACCTGGCTTTGGTGCTTATTTTTAATATACTTTCAGATTTTATCTTTTAAGCTAGTTTTTTTCTTTATTAGCAGGTGAGTGTGTGTGGTTATGCATGTGTGACGGTCAGTGTGTGTGTGTGTGTGTGTGTCTCGTGCATGTGTGACGGTCAGTATAACTTTGCGGAGTTGCTTCTCTCCTTGCAGCTTTCTGTGTAAGACTGGCAGGCAGTTCACCTGCTGAACCATTTTGTTGGCCTCTTATGAGCTAGTTTTTAACAAAGGAACAAAGTCTAGTGGTCTGATTCAGCTTAGTCTGCCATAGATTTGCTCTTAATAGTTTTCTTAGCTGCCTTTTATTATCTCCTTCAGTATAAACATACATAGGTATGTTGTAAGTGTTCCTCTAATCTAGGCTGTGATCTCAGATTCTCTGCCCTGAATGTCCAGTTTTTATTTAGAATCTGGTAAGATCCTGATTCTGCATTTTTAAGCTGGCCTTCCAAAAGATTACAAAGTTGAGATCCTAGAACATCCTTTGACTAACACCAGTTTAGAGGCCAGATGTCCATGTTCTCCGAGACAGATGAGTCTCCTCAGCTTCCTGCACAAATGTTGAAGTAGTGTGGTGAGCAGGTGGGGTTGGTCCTGAAAGGATGTCCATTTAGGGATGTGCACTTTAGTATACAAATGTTTGCTCCAGCCTTGCTCACATGCTCTGCTTCGCTCCTCTACTTTCATCAGCCACCATCCTGAGTTTTTGTGATTCATCTTATGCAGTCTGTTGTTAGGCTGTAGCTAATCCAGAGACATTCATAAATGATATGAAACAATTTTAAATTGGAATTTCATTTTTTTTGCAGTCAATTTAAGAGCAGACTGCTTCATCTATATTATGTAAAAGTTTTTAATGAGTAGAAATCTGTGTTGAAAAAGTTAACATCATCTGTGAGCCCTAACTAATAATTCATTGCTTTTGAGTCCTGGGGAGAAAAGCTCGTTTGTGTCAGATGCACAGCCATACTGGGGAGAGATGGGAGCCCTATTATTTTAAATAAAACATTCACCCTCTCCACTAACACCACTGATAAACAACTCAGACTCTTCTTCTGTTTCTTTTTCTATCCTGTTCTCTTCTCCCCCTTTTTTGTTTTTTCCCTTTTTTCTTTTCTCTTGGGCAGTGGGAGACTCCTCTTTCACAAATTGGGAACAATGGGGCATAAGCAAATTGATACTTATTTGTGGAATCGTGGTGATGTCTATGGAGCAGCTGCAACACAAATAACACACCTAAGGTACCCTCCTCCATCCAGCTGAGACTATTTCATTTCAGCATTGAGATGAGCACATCCTGTTTTAAATGAAACAAAGGTTTTCTCTTAAGAATTCTTATGGTTTACAACTTTGAGTATAGAGAAGTGAGGACTTGTGGAACAATAGAGGCAAGTCTGAGAATAATTTTTTGTGTTTTTAGATGTATTTAACTACCATTCCTGAAAAAAGTCATTTCTACAAAAAACCAGAATGTATAATGACGTGTTCTTTCATATTTGTGTAACGCATTCTGATCATTAACTCATGTTTAATTGACAAGTAGATTTATCTTTTAATGTAGTTACAGGTAGATCATTGGTTATCTAGTCTGTTTGATGGCCTGGTTATAGATAACACAGTTCCCATCTGTGACATTTAGTTGGTGTCTACATGGGTATGACAGAATGCTGGAGTGTGGGAGGAGACTTTTTTGTTATTCATTTTATTTATTTGCAGAAACACCTGGTTAAAGGAAAATTGTGATTTAGAGTATTCGTCAAGTACAAATTCTGTTTTTGACATTTACATAAGACATTCTGGTATCTTAACATGTTTACCTCTCTGGCCTTTAGTTCCTAGAGTTAGGATTCTAAAATCTTTTTAGTTGCTTTTAAAGTGTTTACTTTTGTTTACTTATTTGGAGTTCTGATTTGTGTCTGTTGAGACTAGGCATAACTGCCCTCATTCATGGGAAAACATGTTTGTCTACTCTCAGTGTCATTGTCCTGAAGTTACATGTTCTACTATGGTATAGTGTACTGAGCATAGAACATGACTACTCTTTTGTCAATCCTAAAATGCGGAAACTGTCTTTTACAGAGAGGCCTATGCAATTGGGAAGAAAGAGAAGCCACCCTTCTTACCAGAGGAGCGGTCATCATCTTCAGAAGAAGATGAGCCTATCCCAGATGAGCTATTGTGCCTCATCTGCAAGGACATTATGAATGATGCTGTTGTCATTCCCTGCTGTGGAAACAGTTACTGTGATGAATGTAAGAGACTGGGACCTTTTAGGGATACTTGTTTCAGAGTATTTGTATTTGCTGGTAAATTACAAGATGTAGTTGTTTAGGCGGGTGGTTGGTTGTTTTAATAATGGTCTTTTGGACCTTTGTTCATTTACTTATTTTTTTTTACTTAAGCTGGCTTTGAGTTTATTATCCTCCCTGGCCTTTCATTATTACTTTTAAACAAGACCTTTGGGTTTCACTTGTGTGTGTATTACTACTTTGCCTGCATGTTAGTGTGTGTCAGTGACCATGGAGGCCAGAAGAGGGTATTGATCACCCTGGAACTGGATTTATCGTTAGCTGTGAGCTAATTCTTGTTAAGCTATTTCAAAGATTCTAAAAATATGTAAAATGTTTGGCACTCTTTTCTAGACTTAGTTCTATTTTTTTTGTACAATATTTTCATTGCTAGCTAAATAAGGGTAGGTATTTGATAATGCATTTTCTGTCTGTTTAAACATTTATATAAGGTCCAGGCATGGTGGCACATGCTTTTAACTCAAACACTTGGGAGGTAGAGGCAGGTGAGTTCAAGGCCAGCCTGGATTACACAGTGAGACCTTATCTCAAAAGAAGGTATTTGGGACTGGAGAGATGGATGTTAAAAACACTGACTGCTCCTTAGTGGACCCTGGGTTCAGTTCCCAGCATCCAGGTGGCAGCTCACAACCATCTGTAACTCCCGTTCCAGCAGATCAGACCCTTCTGGCTTCTACTAAGTTGCTTTCCTTCTTTTTAGTCTTTTGTGTTTTTTTTTTTTTTTTGTTTTTTGTTTTTTTTTTTGTTTTGTTTTGTTTTTGTTTTTGTTTTTCCTATTTGAGACGAGTTTTTTTCTTTTCTTTTTTTGGTTTTTTGAGAGGGGGTTTTTCTGTGACTTTGAAGGTTGTCCTGGAACTAGCTCTTTTAGATCAGGCTGGTCTCGAACTCACAGAGATCTGCCTGCCTCTGCCTCTTGAGTGCTGGGATTAAAGGTATGCACTACCACCACTCAGCATGAGACAAAAGTTTCTTAATTTAGCCTTAGGGGGCATAGGCTGTCTTTAAATTCATTATATGAACACCAAGTTTCTACCATGCCACCTCATGTTTATCATCTTCTCATACATAGGTATTAGGACAGCGCTCCTGGACTCAGATGACCATGTATGTCCAACATGTAATCAAACTGATGTTTCTCCTGATGCCTTGATTGCCAACAAGTTTTTACGACAGGTAACGGTTTGTATCTTTTTGCATAAAAGTATCATTAGCATTTTCACTGATTGAACTGATTGAAATGAATGATATAGTACATATTCTGCATTTTTGTGTTTGGTTCTATAGGCTGTTAATAATTTCAAAAATGAAACTGGCTATGCAAAAAGACTACGAAAGCAGTTACCTCCACCCCCACCCCCACCCCCAGTACCACCTCCAAGACCACTCATTCAGCGGAACCTACAGCCTCTTATGAGATCTCCGATATCAAGACAGCAAGATCCTTTGATGATTCCAGTGACGTCTTCCTCAGCTCACCCAACTCCCTCTATATCTTCATTAACTTCAAATCCATCTTCCTTGGCTCCTTCTGTGCCTGGAAATCCATCTTCTGCCCCAGCTCCAGTACCTGATATAACTGCAACAGTATCTATATCAGTCCATTCGGAAAAGTCAGATGGCCCTTTCCGGTGAGTCTATATCTTATCATTGAAGACAAATGAGGTCAGGGGTGCAGTTTTTTTCTCTATATAGTTACTATTTTTGAGATAGGATCTCACTATGTAGACACATTGCTGGCCTCTAAATTCAGAGATTTGCCTTTTATAATTTTTTAGTTTCATTTTATGTATATGAGTATTTTGCCAGCATGTCTGTCTGTTTCTGCAATGGCAAAGAGGGTGATTGATCCCCTAGAATGTAGTTATAGATAATCGTATATTATATGGGTGCTGGGAATCAAACCTGAGTCTCTAAAAGAACAGCTGAGCTATCTCTTAGCCATCTCTTCACTACTGAGCCATCTCTCCACCCCCTAAAGTAGTAGCTTCTTTTTTTTTTTTTTTTTTTTTTTTTTTTTGGTTTTACGAGACAGGGTTTCTCTGTATTGTTTTGGAGGCTGTCGGTCCAGCCCGACCTCGAACTCACAGAGATCTGCCCAGCTGCACCTATTTTCTGTCATATGTGTCATATGTAGTATTTCTTCAGGGAATTCCTTTTTTTTTTTTAAATAGTACATATGTATGTGTGGGCATGCAGGCATGTGGTTGCCCCAGGCATGTATGTAGAGATAGAAAACAGCTTTAAGGACTTGGTTCTCTAATGCCATCTTGTAGGCTCTGCAGACCAAAATTCCAGTTAGGCCTGCATATAAGTGCCTGTACTACTAAAGCATCTAACTGGCCCAGGCATTTACATTATGTATAAAGAGCTTTTTACAGCCTGTCCTTTCACTTATCTCAGAAGTTGTCATTAACTCATTGTAATGCAGGATATAGATAAGCTGTATTAGTGATTGTTACCATTTTACATTGTTGGTGATGTCTTATGTTACATTGTTTTCTAGGGATTCTGATAATAAATTATTACCAGCTGCTGCCCTGGCATCAGAACATTCTAAGGGAGCCTCCTCAATTGCAATTACTGCTCTTATGGAAGAAAAGGTAGATTTTACTGGCTTTAGAATCCTCTTTTTTTTTTTTTTTTTTTTTTTTTACAGATTTTTGTTGTTTTTATTTTTGCTTTGACTTGTAAAACTAAAAAAACTATTTCTGTTTTTTGTTTGTTTGTGTATATGTGTACTTCTTCTCAAAGGGTTACCAGGTGCCTGTCCTTGGAACTCCATCTTTGTTGGGACAGTCATTATTACATGGACAGCTGATCCCCACAACTGGTAAGTAACATTATTTTTATTTGGATCCTTTTCCCTTTAGGAAATTATTAACAGTGAATCTAACATTCATTCTTTTTTATTTTTAAGGTCCAGTAAGAATAAATGCTGCTCGTCCAGGTGGTGGTCGACCAGGTTGGGAACAGTAAGTACATATTCATAATAACCTTCAGATACTTGCCTTTGAACTAAAAAGTAGAGACTACAAATTAGACAGGAGCTTGGTGAATGGTTATTATAAACTCCTTTAAATATGCCAGATTAACATAATTTTAAACATTACAATTCAAATTTATGTCTCCGGTTATTATCTGAATGAATAAAAATATTTGACACTTGAACGCCGGGCGTTGGTGGCGCACGCCTTTAATCCCAGCACTCGGGAGGCAGAGGCAGGCGGATCTCTGTGAGTTCAAGGCCAGCCTGGTCTACAAAGTTAGTTCCAGGACAGCCTCCAAAACAATACAGAGAAACCCTGTCTCGAAAAACCAAAAAAAAAAAAAAAAAAAAAATGACACTTGAAAAACTTGGGGCTAGAGACACTGACATTCAGACAATTGAAAATGTACACGTAACTGTGTGTCTGTCTGTCTATCTCTGTGTGTGTGTGTGTGTGTCAGTGGGAATTGAACCCAGGGATTCAGCGTGCTAGGGAAGTATTCTGCCCTGAAGCTTCACCCCCAGCCTGTTACATTTAACTCTCCAAAGCTTTACTCGTAGTCATTCTCTTGATGTACTATATGTGGTAAAAAAAAAAAATGTATGATACCCAGTTTAGCAAAGGTAAACTGCACATGGAGATCATTAGTACTTCCCAGTGCTTTAGAAAATTCTTAGAGTAGAATCCCAGAGGCACCGTGTATACAATGATTAATTTTATCCACTTTTGATCTAGTATTGCATCTTTGACTTCTCTTGGCTGGATAATGCTGTATATAGCCTATATAGGTTTAATAAATTTTAATGATTTAAGATTAGATGTTTTGTGTTTAAGAAAAAATAGAGTTAGCCGGGTGTTGGTGGCACACACCTTTAATTCCAGCACTTCAGGAGGCAGAGGCAGGTAGATCTCTGTGAGTTCCAGGCCAGCCTGGCCTACAGAGCGAGTTCCAGGACAGTCTTGAAAAACCAAAAAAAAAAAAAAAAAAAAAAAAAAAAAAGACTTTTAGCAATATTTAATGTATTCATAACACCCTTTTCTTGATTCTCTAGTATTTCCAGGCTACTTGGTCTATCTACAAATTTTTCAAATTGTCATAAATCTAAAAAAAAAAAACCCAAAACATATTAAGTGTGCTCATAAAGTTAAAACTCATTTCAAAGGTCACCTTGTAATTCTTTTCCAAAATAGTAAAATACACACTGATAAGTCCTTTTCTTCCTAAGAACCTAGGGATCGTGATAGGACCTTAGATTATTGATCCTATATATATGTTTTCTAGATTTTTATTTTCATAAATTGTTGAACTCTCTCTTGTCTTATTTGGATAATCAAAATTCAATTTAGTAAGTAAACACATTGCAAGATTAATGTCTACCACGGAGTTCCTCATTTTTTTTTCTGACTTGTTCATAATACAGGATTATGTGATTTTTTTTTCTGCCCAAACACACAAAGAATATTGATGTCTGTAAGATGCTTTATGACATTAAAAATTAGTAGATTTGAGCTGGAGAGACAGAGGACCTGAATTCAATTCCCAATACCCACAGCCACCTGTAACTCAGCTCCAGGGGATCAGTACCCTCCTCTGAAACTTTTAAAGCCACCAGGCATGCACCTGGTATGCAGACATGCATGTTAGAGAAAATAGACTGATGAGAGCGTAGCAGAATGTATCAGTAGAAGAACATGAAATTTAAAGACAGACATACCTGAGTTGGCATCTGTTTGCTGGGCACAGAACTGAGCAAATAGGTTTCTCCTCATTTTTTCATTTGTAGCACTCAAAAGTATTCTAATCAAGCATATAAAATACCTACATAGAACCTTGCAAATTAGAGGTCCCTTTTCTAAACAGTAAGTCTGTAGAGTGCTAACAAAAATATAGAATATTTTTTGCTTAGATCTTTGGAACAATTTTAAGAGTTCAAGATTATGAAATTGTTTGAAAACAGTTAAAATAGGTGCTTTTTCAAGTATGTGCACTGATAGGTTATATATTAAACCTAGAGAGAAATACTCAATTCTGTTTGTCTCTTTCTACATCTTGCACAGTTCCAACAAGCTTGGGTATCTGGTTTCTCCACCACAACAAATTAGAAGAGGGGAAAGAAATTGTTATAGGTAAGCATGCTAAAACTCTTGGAAGATAATCCATGGCACACTGGGTTAAGAGGTAAAACACAAAACTGATGAGGAAGGAGATATTATTTGTTCTCCTTTTTTCTCTTAAGTCTTTAGCAGTTGTCCTTAAGTAATCTAGGAACTAGGAGCTATAGTTCAGTGGTTAAGTGGCTGCCTAGCCTATGTAAGGCCCTAGGTTCAATCCCCAGCAGATGCAGTATAAAATCTCATTTGAAGTTATGCTTAAAATTTTTTTTATTGCTAAGTGTAGTGCACACCTGTAATCCCAGTGTTTGTGAGGCTAAGGCAGGTTGTGAGTTGGAGGCCAGGCTGAATGACATAACCAGACCTGTCTGTGGAGGAAGGAGTATAGAAAAACATAATATAGGACAGACAAATTAGCACAATGACAAAAGTTTAAATCTCCATCTTTGGTATGTATGTGTGAACATGCGTGCTTACAGAGGCCCATGGAGGATTTCAGGTACCCTGCTCTATCATTCTGTCTTATTCTTTTGAGAAAAGACAGCTCACTGAGACTAGAGCTAGACTGATAGGCAGCAAGCCCCAGCAGTCGTCTGTCTGCCCCTCCCAACACTGGGGTTAAATATAGGAATGCATGGCCACACATGGCTTTTTAGGTGGGTGTTGGGAGTTTGGTTGGGCTCAACTCTTTGCACTTGTGCAAGCACTCTTACCCACTCACTGAGCCATTTCTTTCACTCTTCACACTCTGTTCTTTGTATTCTTTCCAATGATTACTTGGTCTGTATCAATATATCATTATATATATATATATATATATATATATATATATATACAGCTTACGAGAGAAAGTTAGCCAGTTCAGCTCCCAGATGGGAAAAAGGATTGTGTTTCTGTCCCAGTCTTTCTCAACCTTCTTTTCCAAAAGAAAAGTCCAGGAAATTCGTTGGACTTCTTGCTCTCTCTCTCACAGTGTTCATTTAGAAAGCCATAGGTTTTTACTATGGTAGTGGTTATTTCAATCAGGGTCCAAAGACTTCCAGCTTTGTTATGGCTATTACTGATCTTCTAGTGCTTCATTCAGTATTGCAATCTTATGACAGTTAGCTGCCTTTGTAACTAGATTGCATTAAAAGAAGGTGGTGTGTACTAATTCATGGTTCCCAGCACACTTAAGTCTAAATGCCTGCTGTTGCTGTCCCATACTATTTGCTCATTGTATAAAAAACCATTAGCTTAGCAAAAGCAGACACAGATTCTTTGAGACGATTCAGAAACTTCAGCACTGTTACTTTGGTTTATAAGGGAAAATGTTGACATTTTCAGTTTTGATTACAAATGCTACAATTAGTATGATTCTGTTTTGTTTGGTCTTCACCCACTTCCTCCAAAAGGAAGCTGCAGTGGTTTTTAACATGAATTTTGGGTCTAGAAAGTCATTTGGGAGACAACTAGATCACAGCCGTGTTAACCTATTACTTCCTTCAAAATATATTTCCTGTCTATTGCTAAGTGACCTTAAAAATTAGATCATGTAGCTGGAGAGGTTCAGTGGCTAAGAGCACTTGCTGCTCTTGCAGAGGATTTTTTGAAATACAGTTGAGAGGTTTTTGTTCTGGGCAAGTTTTTGCTGTTACACAAGCTGGTCTCAAGTTCAAAGACTCAAGTGATTGTCCAGCCTCCTGAGTAGTTGGGACTATAGACCTATGTCATCATACCTGGCCTGAAGAGCTAATGTATACAGATACATCTTGATTGCATTTGTGCTAGAGTAGTTGATTCTATTCCATTTTTTATACTATGGAAAATAAGAATAGAAAAAGACAACCTCATTTGTGTCAGATATATTTAATTTAAAGGTATAATACCTTGGAATTTATTTCTCCAGAAGTATAAACCGTGGGCGACACCACAGCGAAAGATCACAGAGGACTCAAGGCCCATCACTACCAGCAACTCCAGTCTTTGTACCTGTTCCACCACCTCCTTTGTATCCGCCGCCTCCCCATACACTTCCTCTTCCTCCAGGTGTACCTCCCCCACAGTTTTCTCCTCAGTTTCCTCCTGGCCAACCCCCACCTGCAGGATATAGTGTCCCTCCTCCAGGGTTTCCACCAGCTCCTGCCAATATATCAACACCTTGGGTATCATCAGGAATTCAGACTGCTCATTCAAATACCATCCCTACAACGCAAGCACCACCTTTGTCCAGGGAAGAATTCTATAGAGAGCAACGACGACTAAAGGAAGAGTGAGTATTTTCATTTGAAGTTATCATACACTTTTTCATTTTCTGATACAACATTAAATAGGTATTTTGGAAACATTTTCCAGTGTTTCCAGTTAGTAAAGAAAATTCACCTAAAATTTAAACCAAAGCCATACAAGCAACTTCCTCAGGGATACCTAGTTATTTATAGTTTTAAAGTAGAGAACTAATGGCAATTTCATTCATTTCATTCATGATCTAATTACATTTGTCTTGTTAGTTTTCTTAAATGGTTTTTGTTAACTTTCACTCTTTAACTTTATTTTACTAGGGAAAAGAAAAAGTCCAAGCTAGATGAGTTTACAAATGATTTTGCTAAGGAATTGATGGAATACAAAAAGATTCAAAAGGAGCGTAGGCGCTCATTTTCCAGGTTAGTGTTTTGCAAGCCTTCACAACAGAATTACAAATGGGACTTTGAATATCCAGGGATTACCTATGGATATAAATAACACTGCACTTAATGAGATTTTTCTGATTCGGTCTAGTTTTATAGAATGGAAGAGATGTAGCTTATTCCCCAATATGTCCATTAAAATAATGTCTCAGTGTAAATTCTATTGTGTAGAACTAGCATTTATGGGGACTAAATTGTCCTTGTCCCTTGAAGTTATTTATAATATGAAATAAATGGGGAATGTTTATGGAAGGAAAGACATAGGGAACTAGCCAGAGAGCATTCTGAGGGCCTTTGCCATAAAGCTACAGCTTCTTGCTGGAACATTAACCTGTGTGATTAAAAGGCAGTGGTAGAGTACACATTGTTGTATTGATAGAAAAAAACTGAATTACAGAAGTTCCCTGGAAGTTTTTTTTTGTTGTTTTTTAGACTTAAATTTAAAATGTGGTTCCTTTTAAAGCTAGACTCTTGGCTAGTGTAAGATAAAAATAGACTCCTAGCTTAAATAATCAGACAGGAAATTTAAATTTAATTGGCATTTGCTTAATGTTAATAAGCTCATAAAACTCTCGGTACATTAATGCACTCCACTGATTGTCAAGACTTGCCTTTTGTTTTGTAACAAGTGATTTAAGTACTTTATTCCATTTCAGTAGAGGTCATTATACCTCTTTAATCATCTAAGTTGAAACTGATGCAAAAAAAGATAAAACTATGTTAAAAGAGTGCTAGAATCTGTTTTTATTTTGTATATGTTTCTCAACCATCAACTGTGTTTTTGTTTTTAGGTCTAAATCTCCCTATAGTGGTTCATCGTATTCAAGAAGTTCATACACTTACTCAAAGTCAAGATCTGGCTCGACACGTTCACGCTCTTACTCTCGATCCTTCAGCCGCTCACACTCTCGCTCCTATTCACGATCACCCCCATACCCCAGGAGAGGCAGAGGCAAGAGCCGCAATTATCGTTCACGGTCCAGATCTCATGGATATCATCGATCTAGGTCAAGGTCACCTCCATATAGACGTTATCATTCACGGTCAAGATCTCCTCAAGCATTTAGGGGACAGTCTCCCACTAAGCGTAATGTACCTCAAGGAGAAACAGAGCGTGAGTATTTTAATAGATACAGAGAAGTTCCACCGCCTTATGACATTAAAGCCTATTATGGGCGGAGTGTCGACTTTAGAGACCCATTTGAGAAAGAACGCTACCGAGAATGGGAGAGGAAATACCGAGAGTGGTATGAGAAGTACTACAAAGGGTATGCTGTGGGGGCACAGCCTAGACCCTCAGCTAACAGAGAGGACTTCTCTCCAGAGAGACTTTTACCTCTTAATATCAGAAATTCACCCTTCACAAGAGGGCGCAGAGACGATTATCCTGCTGGACAAAGTCATAGAAATAGAAATCTAGGTGGCAGCTATCCAGAAAAGCTTTCAACAAGAGATAATCACAACCAGAAAGATAACACAAAATCAAAAGAGAGTGAGAACATTCCGGGAGACAATAAAGGAAACAAGCATAAGAAACACAGAAAACGAAGAAAGGGGGAGGAGAGTGAGAGCTTCCTTAACCCCGAGCTGTTAGAGACTTCCAGGAAATCCAGGGAGTCATCAGGAGTTGATGACACTAAGACGGATACAATGTTTGTTCTCCCAAGTAGAGATGATGCTACACCTGTTAGGGATGAACCAATGGATGCAGAATCTATCACTTTCAAATCAGTATCTGAAAAAGACAAGAGAGAAAAAGATAAGCCAAAAGTAAAAAGTGACAAGACCAAACGGAAAAGTGATGGGTCTACTACAGCCAAGAAAGAAAGTGTTTTAAAACCTTCTAAAGGACCCCAAGAAAAAGTAGATGGGGAGCGTGAAAAATCTCCTCGGTCTGAACCTCCACTTAAAAAAGCCAAAGAGGAGGCTGCAAAGACTGACTCTATAAAACCTTCATCGTCGTCTCAGAAGGATGATAAGGTCACTGGAACTCCCAGAAAAGCGCACTCTAAATCTTCAAAAGAACACCCTGAGACAAAGCCAGTCAAGGAGGAGAAGGTGAAAAAAGACTGTTCCAAAGACATCAAGCCAGAAAAGCCAGCTAATAAGGATGAAAAGGCCAAGAAGCCTGAGAAAAATAAGCTACTTGATAGCAAGGGAGAAAAAAGAAAGAGAAAAACTGAAGAAAAGATTGTAGATAAAGATTTTGAGTCATCATCAATGAAAATCTCTAAAGTAGAAGGAGCTGAAATAGTGAAACCATCACCAAAGCGGAAAATGGAAGGTGATAGTGAGAAGCTGGAGAGGACCCCAGAAAAGGACAAGATTGCATCAACTGCCCCAGCCAAAAAAATCAAACTCAACAGAGAAACTGGGAAAAAAATTGCAAGTGCAGAAAATACATCTACTACTACAAAAGAAGCCTCTGAAAAAATGGAATCAACGTCTAGCAAAATTAAACAGGAAAAAGTCAAGGGAAAGGCCAAGAGGAAAGTGGCTGGAACTGACGGCTCCAGCTCTACACTTGTGGACTACACCAGGTATGGGGCTGGGGGGCAGGTGTCCTTTGACCTTATAGATGTGTATGTTCTTGACAGTCTGGAGCATGGCAATTCAATAGACTAGCCTAGTAGAAGCATACTTTCAGGCTAGGTTATAAGAAGGTGGATGAACCACGTTGGTTTTTATAGTTTGATCAGTGTGTGTTTCTTAGAGCATAATTTAATTTTTTAAAGCTAAAAAGACATTCTATTTTAAGCTGACTTTTCTAATTTTTTTTGGTTTTATCATTAGTTATTTTCTCATTAATTAAAAGTATATCGATTCATTTTAGTACAAGCTCAACTGGAGGCAGCCCTGTGCGGAAATCTGAAGAAAAGACGGATACAAAGAGGACAGTCATTAAAACTATGGAAGAATATAATAATGACAATACAGCTCCTGCTGAAGACGTTATAATTATGATCCAGGTTCCTCAGTCCAAATGGGATAAAGACGACTTTGAATCTGAAGAAGAAGATGTTAAATCCACACAGCCTGCACAGAGTATAGGGAAACCATCTAGTATTATTAAAAATGTTACTACTAAGCCGTCCGCTCCAGTCAAGTACACTGAGAAAGAAAGTGAGCAGTCAGAGAAACTTCAGAAGCTCACCAAGGAGGTGAGCCACGAAATGACACAGCATGAAGTCAAAAGCTCAAAAGGCTCTGCATCCAGTGAGAAGGGGAGAACCAAAGACAGGGAGCACTCAGTGTTAGAGAAGGAAGTCCCTGACAAGAGAAAGAGCAGCGCCCAGCCAGAGAAGGAGAGCACCTCAGACCGTCTGAGTGAACAAGGAAATTTTAAGAATCTGTCTCAGTCTTCCAAAGAGACTAGGACTTCGGATAAACATGAATCTGTTCGCAGTTCCTCAAATAAAGACTTCACTCCTGGAAGGGACAAGAAAGTAGACTATGACAACAGAGAGCATTCCAGTTCCAAGCGAAGAGATGAGAGGAGTGAGTTAGTAAGAAGGAAGGACTCTCCTCCTCGAAGTAAAGATTCTTCATCTGGACAGAAAGGTAAGCTGAGGGAGGAGAGAGATTTGCCTAAAAAGGGAACAGAGTCCAAAAAAAGTAATTCTAGTCCCCCAAGAGAAAAAAAGCCTCATGATCATAAAGCCCCCTACGATACCAAACGCTCATGTGAAGAGATAAAGTCTGTAGATAAAAACTCTGGGAAGGAACGGGAGAAGTATGCTGCTGAGGCTAGAAACGGGAAAGAGTCCAGTAGTGGTGGCAAGTTGCCATATATACCTAACCCACCAGATCCTGCAGTTGAGAAAGAACCGTTTGCTGGGCAGGTTGATAAGAGTACCATCAAGCCAAAACCCCAGTTCAGTCATTCCTCTCGGCTTTCCTCTGATCTAACTAGAGAGACTGATGAGGCTGCTTTTGAACCAGACTATAACGAGAGCGACAGTGAGAGCAATGTATCTGTGAAGGAAGAGGAAGCTGTGGCCATTGTCTCCAAGGACTTGAAAGAAAAGACAACAGAGAAAACAAAAGAGAGCTTGAATGTAGCAGCAGCCATCCAGCCAGGTGCAGACAGGAGCCAAAGTCAGAGCAGCCCTAGCGTTAGTCCAAGTAGAAGTCACAGCCCTTCTGGCAGCCAGACCCGAAGCCACAGCAGCAGTCCCAGCTCAGCAGGAAGCCAGGACAGCAAGAAGAAGAAGAAGAAGAAAGAGAAGAAAAAGCACAAGAAGCATAAAAAGCACAAGAAGCACAAGAAGCATGCGGGTGCAGACGCTGACGCCGAGAAGAGCCAGAAACACAAACACAAGAAGAAAAAGGCAAAGAAGAGCAAGGACAAGGACAAGGAGAAAGATGACCAAAAAGCGAAATCTGTCACTGTGTGAAGGGCGGATGTTTTAATTGACTTAATTACTAAGTCATCTATCTGTATTAAACTGTTATAATGTAAAGAGATCCCAGCCTTGTAAATAATGAATGGAAGACCCTGTGCTGCACTTAAAGTATTTGCTGCTTGATTCTTTCATTTTTACATCAGAGCTTTATAACGAACTTTTGTACAGAATTGTGAGTTGTGACCATGGAACATAAGAGCTTTTGCTAGGGCCTATTATTTTTAACCACCATTAATTAGTTGGGGTGGAGTTTACTGTACTGTGAAATTTTCACATTTGAATTTTTTTAATTGCCTGGCAAATGCTGGTATCAGTTCAAAAATATCAGCAGAATGATTTGCTGAACTCATTACAGCCCCGTTATGTCACTTTTTGATTACAATAAAAGTTTTCAGTAAACTTTTTACATGTTGAAGATGTATTTATTTATAGAGATAATAGTGTCTCATTTCCTCTCTTTCCAATACTCTTCCAGCCTGTAAGTCAAACTGAATAGACAGAATTCTTTTTATTTCATATGCTTTGAAGGTTTGCCTGCATATGTGTTTGTGTGAGGATGCTGGATTCCGTAGAACTGGGGTTACAGACAGTTGGGAGCTGGGAATTGAACCCTGGTTTTCTGAAAGAGCTGCCAGTGCTCTTAACCGCTGAGCCATTTCTGCATCCCGAATAGACAGAATTCTAAACATTGCAAATGGACTTCAGAGGGGGCTGGTAGAAGATCTTCATTTCTAGTAATGAGAAGTTGGGTTTCTAAAAAGGGGGTAGGGTGCTTACATCTTAGAGATGAGGAATTAGGCCTATTTTCCAGCTGTTTGGTTTTGGTTTTGTTTCCCCCCTGCCCCTTGGAATTCTGCTACATTCCTTAAAGAAACAAATTTAAGCTGAGTGGTTTTGTCCTCTGCTCCACTGACAAAAGTAAGTGGTCATGAGACTAGCAGGGGTCTCTCCTTCACTGCTGCTTTAGGAACCTAGTGATGGCACCAAAAGGATTTGGGGACAGGTTTTAGAAGACATGGCATAAATAGGGCTTTTCACAACCCATGGCTTGGGAACAGCTGGTCTGTCATCCTAAGGTGCTGTGCAGGAGCCAAGAACTTTGGCAGGTTTACTCTAACAGAAAGGTATGCCGCGTGTATTGTACTCCATATAATTGCTGGTTCACAGCCTCGGGATAAGACATTTGAATGTGATGTTTTTTCTATGTGTTGTGTGTCCATGGAGGCAGAAGAAGGATTTGGAGCCCTCTAACTGCTGGAGTTACAAGTAGTTGTGAGCTGCCTTATGTGGAAGCTGGGAACCAAATTCTGTTCCTGTGTAAGAGCAGCAAGCACTTTCCACCACCAAGCCATCTTTCCAGCTCCTGAGATTGGTGTAAAGGAAACACAAGTGCTGAGAGTGTGAAAGTCATTCAGGCTCAAGTTGATTTTGAAGATGCTGCCTTTGAGCCCAAATACCTTTGCTGTGATGGCTCTCCCTGCCGCAATGCCAGTCACACTTGTTTGTTCCCACATATGCCTGATGTCTGGAGTGGCATGTTCTGACCACTCCAGCCCACATGCCACTTAAGCTTTGACAGACTATGCTCTCAATTCCTGCTGATGAGATCTATAACCTGATCCTGTTTCCCATATCCATTGAAGATTCGGTACACAGAACCATCCTGTCTTACCTGAGTTGTTCACATTGGGCTCATTCTTTAAGCTTAGCTGACCTGCTCTTTAGTTGCAGCCCACTCCTGTGAGTTTCCTGGCTACTGACCGTGTGAAGTGTTGTTTCTTTGCAATTAAGAGCACTTTTCCAGCTTCATCAGTTGGTGTTTGAACTCCTTAGTCCTTCATTATTTTCTTGTAACCTATACCTTTTCATATGTCAGCATCCACAGAACCTGTGCCTGCCCCCATCGCCCTTAACTGCTCAGTGAGTTAAATGCTTACATAAGCCTAAGGACTTGAGTTTGAATGCCGCAAACCCAAGTAAAGCCAGATGCTACATACGGATCTGTAATTCCAGTGTTCCTACAATGAGATGGAAGGTAAAGATTAGAGATCGTCTGGAAGCTTGTGTGGCAAGCAACAGACACTGACTCCAGGTGGAAGAAAAGGTCCAACCCCAACCCCAGGCTTGGCCTTTGACCTCCACATGAATGTTACAGATTTTATTTTGTATGTGACTATAGAGGTGTAGAGATTGTAGGTCAACTTGAAATAGCCAATAAAAGTTTTTGTTTGTTTTTTAAATTACTATTCACTAGGCACTTCCAAGTGCTTGTACTTTATTTAACCATTAAAAATACCTCTACCTCTGACCCTTCATGGTACATGTGATTTTTTTTTTAAACCTCTGCTATTCATGTTAGTACCTGACTGATGGCAACTTGCACCTTGCTGTGAGGAGGAATCAGACAACAGGAAGATTCCATCTTGTTTTGCTGGTCATCCAAAAGGCCATGTTGCATCTTACCATATAAATTTGCCTTTCCTTATTTAAAATAATGGGTATGGGTATTTGTGTGTCTGTGTGGCTTTATGCATGTGAGTGCAGTGCCCATAGAGGCCAGAAGAGGGTGGCAGATCCCCCCTAGAGCTGGACTTAACAGGTGGTTTTGTGATCTGTCCCAAGTGGGTGCTGAGAACCAAATTCAGCACTCATTGACTATTGAGCCATCTCTTCTGCCCTTTGAGAATTTGTTTTGTTTTTTTTAATCTCACCATGTAACCCAGACTGTTTTGTTGGTGTTTGATTTTTGATTTGGGTTTGTTCGATTGAACCTAGAGGTCTTGTACTCATAGATAAGCAAATGTTCTGCCCGTAATCTATAGCTCCAGCCATCAGACTGCCCGTGATCATGTAGTAATCCTTCTGCCTCTGTCTTTTGAGTACTGGGATTAAAGGCATGTGCCTGCACCTGGTCCCAGTTTCTGTGTGTGTGTGTGTTTATGAAATACATGGGACAATGTTCAGTGTAGTCACTGCATTGTACAGCAGCACACCAGCAGTTTTGCTCCTGCCAAACTATAACTTGATACCCACCATCATTGTCATAACCTCCCCATCCTCTGCTGAACACCATTGCACCACATCTTTATCTGCAAAATCAAAATTTTACCCTATTGTACTTTTGGTTTGAGACAAGGTCTTATTTATACTCTAGCCCAGAATGGCCTGGTTATTTGATATGTAGCCCCAGCTGGCCTCAAACTCCTGCAACAACCTCCCAAGTGCTAGAACTGCAACTGTGCCCTGACATCAGATCAACCTTTATATTCACATATGGATGGGGCTGTGGGCAGAACCCACATGGTAGAAGAGAGCCAACCCAAGCAATTTGTCCTCTGACCTCCACATGGGCATCCCTTGCTCATGCATGTTCACACATGTAAACAGGCTTTCATTCTTTTTTTTTTTTTTTTTTTTTTTTTTTGGTTTTTCGAGACAGGGTTTCCCTGTGGCTTTGGAGGCTGTCCTGGAACTCGCTCGGTAGACCAGGCTGGTCTCGAACTCACAGAGATCCGCCTGCCTCTGCCTCCCGAGTGCTGGGATTAAAGGCGTGCGCCACCAACGCCTGGCGCTTTCATTCTTTTTTATGACTGGAAAGTATTCTACTGTGTACAGTACTTTATTTGCTAATCAGTTGATGGACACTTAGGGTTTTGGGGGGGTTTTTTGTTGCTATCGTGAATAGTGTTAAAACTAACGGAATATAAGGTATTTTTTGTTTTGTTTTGCAAATTGATTTCATTTCCTTTGGATATATATATATATCAAATGGGGTTTGCTGGATCACAGGGGCAGGTTTTTTAAAAATAAGGTCTCAGTATGTAGCCCAAGCAGGCTGTCATTCACTATAGAACCCAGTATGGACTCGGTGAGTCTTCCATTTCTGTCTCCTGAGTGCTCGGATTACTGGTGTGTGTCCCTACATCTGGCTAATTTTGTGATGGTATTGCCACGCTGCCTGACCTGACCCTGCACTGCTTAGTTCAAGGTTTCTTCACACACACACACACACACACACACACACACCCCTAGTTTCCCACCTCTGAATAATGAGTAATTATAGGTGCAAAGCTCTACATTGGCTATTTCTAGTCTTTTGAGAAACATCCATATTTCTCTCCATAATTGGCTCTGCAATCTTATTTCCTGCCAACAATGTATAAAGATTGTGTTGTTCACTTGTTCATGTCCTTACCAGCGGCTGACCCACTGCTTTTAAAAGAAGAGTGGTGAGTCTAGAGAGATGGCTTAGGCAAAGTATGAGGCCCAGAGTTCAGATCCACAGAACCCAAGAAAAACCAGACATGGGACCACATTTATGCAACCCAAGCACTTCTATGGTAAGATGGGGGACAGAGACAAGAAACTCCCCAGCAGTTCACAGACTGCTACACAGGTGCCAGAATGCTAAGGCAGTGTAGGAGGAGTATCACAAGTTTAAGGCCAGCCAGAGTTAGACCCTGGATTTTCCATAAAACATTAATGGAAAGTAAACAATGATATCATTTAAAAACAACATGAATCTTGTGTTTTCTTTGAAATGTGACTTTTTCATAGTTTGCTTGAATTTTAGCTTTTCCCTTATAGTGTGATTTTTGTTTTAGTAATTCATTTGAAGTTGCCATGGCAAGGATGAATCTTTTTCATTTTAAGCCAGGTGGTGCTGGCATATGCCTTTAGTCCCAGCACTGGGGAGACAAAGGCAGGCAGATCCCTGTGAGTTCAAGGCCAGCCTGGTCTACAAAGCTACACAGAGAAACCCTGTCTTGAAAAAGAAAACGATTTTATTTTAAAATCTTTAGTGGTTTTTTAATTTCTAATAAGAGACTGGACATAGAATTAGGATTCAGAATAAAATACTCTTTTCTGTAAACTTGGCACCTTAGTGAAATTTATTGTCTAAATACTGTTTATCCAAGGTTTAATAACATGTAAAGCTAATGGATTGTTTTTCATTTCTTAAAACCAAATATATGAAAAGTTATCAGGGAAGGGGCCATCAGTAGAGAACCAGAAAGGAGGCTGGGATGGGGAGAGGAAGGGAAGGGACACTCTCACTGCTGCTCCTCATGCAGCACTCCACCCTTGGGAAGCATTGTGTATTGTGCACCCATAGTCTGGAGCAATTGAGGGATGTTCTTTTCTGGCTTAAGACAGGGTCTTGCTATGTAGTCTCAACAGGCCTTGAAACCCATTCAAAGCAGGCTTCCTGCCTCAGCTTTGTGAAGTCTGACGTCAATCGCAGTTGTTTATCAACACACCTGGCTGGAATAGCTGCTTTGAAACCACTTATAAGGGCCAGGAAGACTGCTCAGTGGTTAGGGTATTTGCGCCACAGCTGGAAAAGGACCCATGTAAATGCCAGGTGGATGAGGTGGCTAGCTTGCCACTCTAGGCTCAGAAG